CGCCAAGAGTTTGTGATATAACAAGAAATACGTTTTTCCTCCATTAATCTGTCCAGTACAACTCTGCTAGAAAACACTGTGATAATGTAGTTGCATAACTGTTCACACCCCCTTATGACTGTTTATTCATATTCAAACGGGAGTCACCGCATATGTTTCACCATTCATAGCGCCTCGTATTAAGCCCAAATGCAGTTCAGATGTTCTAGTAGGCTTTTCCTGACATTTTGCCATCTTGCAATGTCTCAGATATCTTAACTTCCCAGTTGTAATTTAACAACTGTCACCAATTGGCAAAGCTACCATATCTGTCATCTGTTCCTGTAATCCTTTTCAGTTCGATAGTAGAGTAAGTAGCCTTACATGAGACAAATGGCAAAATGCTGGTTAAAAAGCACCCGAAATCGCTGCTAGGGATTCCCAGTTGTAATTTAACAACTGTCACAGATGTCACCAATTGGCAAAGCTACCTTATCTGTCATCTGTTCCTGTAATCCTTTTCAGTTTGATAGTAGAGTAAGTAGCCTTCCATGAGACAAATGGCAAAATGCTGGTTAAAAAGCACCCGAAATCGCTGCTAGGGTGCGTTCAACCACATCATTTGACTGTTTCCCTTCAAACGAATGGTTTTTGTGCAAATGCATATTTCCTGTCCTGCAGAGAACCCGTATGACATCTTTGTTGACGCGTTTAATAGGAAGCCAAACTGCTGTTAGCCCTCGCTCTTCAATCCGAAATTAGATTTGTCGCTATTTGCCACAAACGGCCACATTGAGCAAGTGAGCGCATTATGTAATTTGCGGTCGAGAATCTCGCACTTGTCCATGAAAAGGCATCGGGGTGGCACCACAAAATGACTGCTTGTGTCGATTGTTTGCGCCCGGCTCGGCTTGGTTTTTCCATAACTTGTGTAGTGGAAGGCATGAGACGCAGTGAGCGAGTGAGAGATGAGAAATCAACCAAACCAAGGGGGGGGACAAAGCCCTGTTGTCTGTCGCGGCCCTTCCCCTCCTCTCATTTCCTTGGATATTTTGTTAGCAAACATAGTCCACTGTTTAACTGACTTGATATCACGTGGATCTGCTTGGAGATTAGAATATCAGATGAATGAACCCTGTTTGATTAGAATTGCATATTAACATATGTGCGTTGAGTTGAGGTCTTGCTGTTGTGGCCCTGTGTGGAACGTTTTTGTCCTAAGTATTCAAGTACAGTCATGCCTTGAGATATGGGACATGCCTACACTTTTCGCACAAAACAATTGTTTCTTATATCAACTTTCTCCTTTGAAATGAATGGAAATGCTAAAATACAGTTCAGACCCCCACCCCCTCAAAAAGGCTTCAGATTTTTGCAATGCTTACCCATAAATGAGAAAAATAGGTCTCTATATTGTAATTCATAAAAATACACACACCCATGAAATAATTCAATAGAATTAAAGAATAAATTAGCAATTGTCACACTCTCATTCAAGTCAATACACATGGCGCTGTGTATTCTGGTCCCTGCTCCTTTGCCACCTGGGGGGAGTTTAAAGGCCAAATCATGCTTGACTTGCTTGCCATGATACAGTCGCCATTCAGCAGGTTCTCCTGCTTCGAACTTGAGTAGGATTCATGTAGGTGTTCTTTGCAGAGCATAAATAATACAGCTGTCTGTCTACTCTGTGTTGCTCCATCCTTTGTGTTCAAATATCTGTTGCTTCAAGAGTATTGAACCGACACATAGAGGCTAATCATTGTTCGCATTAGCCATAAGCGAGCAAACTATGCAATGTGCAATTCCTTTTTTCCATGTTTAGTTTTACAGTAAACCTAAACTGAGAGTGGCAACAAACAATTTGAAAGCTTTTTTTTAAGAATATTTACAATTTTATTTGACATTCCCACCATACAGTGCATTTATCTTTGCACTGTTGTCGGGTCACTCCTATCTTAAGGCGCCACTGTATTGTTAAAACGCTTAACAAAATAAAAATCTGTGCTAGTGGCGCAAGAACAATGAGCTATAATTTGTGAATTACACAACCGCAATCAACGCATTGTGGTTCAGTGTCGATCCAAACCGAGCATTGTCGAAAACTTGTTTTATTGGCTCGCATTTGAATGCCGCTGTACGTAATGAAGTCTCCTTTTTCCCCCCAATACTAGTCTGACTAAGAAGCTGTTATTGATTCCCGCAGTCAAATTACAAGGGAAAGGAAATGACCACTCAGGCCTGTGTGCGACGTCAGAGTGCGTAGGCTTTGTGCCGCGTGTGTGTGTGTGTGTGTGTGTGTGTGTGTGTGCGTGCGTGTGTGTGAGTGAGAGAGACTCTTCCTTGTTAATAGTGTTGTGTC